CTAGCAAACAGAGCTGTACCAGACCTAATACCTGTGGTTTGTGCTTCCTCTCCTAAAAGTGCATCAGAAGGACCAGATTCTGATTGGAGAAGTCCTTGTTTGCTGCTCTTGTTTCTAGAAGCACTGAATGGAGCAGTTACTTCTGGATTTAAGCATACTGATACATTATGGATTTCTTTCTCAATGGCTGGCCATGTACTTTTTGTGAGTTGTCTAGTCTTGCAAATAATCTGGCAGCATCCTGTTTGGGGTTTTTTGCTACAAGAACACAGACGTAATACTGAGATGCTACTGGCTCAGAGGAATCCATCATTATCATGCTGCAAGGTGCCCCAGACATCTACCACCCACTCCCACAGCACTATGGTTGTGTCATTCTGCATTCCCTCTCATTCACTCCAAGGTAAAGAGATTTGTAGGTGCAGTTTCTAAGGGCAAATCTTCATACAGGCAAGGTCTCCTATGCTCTCATATGTTCACTTGAACTGCTTCCTGCACCTGCCAGACAAAAATAATTTCACTGTTCATTTAGTCTTCCTGGCAGGTCCCACTGAGATCTCCTGCAAAAGTGTTAAGAGTTAATGTGGGGACAGGCCTGGCCCTGAACTCTTCAGTATCTCCCGCCTGAAGCCCAAAGTGAAGTTGCTCTCAGGAATTTGAAGCGCAGCTTCTTGCTCCAGCTCAGTTGCCATTTCCTTTACTTCATTATATGCTCAGTGAAGGACTTCCAGATTACCGGTCCCGACAGTCTGCTCTTTTGGATGAGTGGACATTCTACCCCATGTCCTAACTTTACCTCATTTACAGCCCCATTGTTACAAGCCCCCTTGTTTCTCCACCCCTGTGCATTTTCACGGTTTGTTCCCAACGGCGTCTGCTTTGGCAGGAGGCAAATGTCAGAAAATGCAGAACTGGTGCCTGTTGGGCAGGAACTTTGTAGTAGAGAAAAAGAACAATGGCTAGAGTTCTTCTCTTTGGATGTGAATGTGTCTGTTTAGAGATAAAAGTTCATATGTGTGACATTTGCAGTGGTAGTGCTGTTGTGACTTTATCAGGGTACTTGTTCACATCATTGACCTGCAAGATCTGGCCACACTTGGGAAGTATCTCCGTTTTACTGTGGGTCAAGGTAATTTTTAAAAAAGGGAGTCTCTTGTTTGTCCTCTCTGTGCCACCATGAGTTTTCTCTAGGATCTTGGCACCAGCTGTGGCATACTTTGAGGCAGTTGTGCTTTTTCTGGGTAAATGAAGGTGTACGTCACAAGCAGGATGGGCATTTCTGTAGCTACTGCCAGAGTTTCACAGTAATTAACGTTTGGCGGTTGGTATCCATGGTAGTGAATGAACATATAAATAATATCTCTTGAAGAATGGGAGCACCTTTCTTACAATTTGTTTTCTTGTTGTTTTGTGTTTAAAGTTTTGAAAAACTAGAATAATTCCTATTCTTTAAGCCCTAGGCCTCAAATTCTCAAGTTCTAGTCTGCCTTTCAGGCCGTTTTATAGTACCTGACAGAAGTACAATTGCTGTGTGTGCTGCCAAGTGGAACCTATACAAGGACTAATCCTGGGTATTCCCTTTTCTTCCTAGATCTCCATGTGCTGGGAGATACAGCTTGCAGCAGGAGTCTTTTCTGAAGGAAGAAACAGGAGTGTGAGAAGTGGGTGACAAGTGCTTGAAACTGTGCAGCAGCTGCCAGCTGGGCTTCACACACAACAGTCCCTTGGGATCATTTTAATTAAAAAACCCCTCAAACTAAATCACTATTTCTGTGCTTTCATTTTACCTTTGTAGGGGAATAGTTGCTCCATTTTTTTACACCTCTTGCATTAAATTTTCTACCTGTGAAGTTACAGAGCATCAAGTGGTCTGAGTGCTGATAGTTTGCTGAGCTACTTGTATTCCTTAGCCATGGAAAGCCTGAACTTCTTGCACACAGGAAGCCTTAAAAACTTTCTCAAAACTTTCTTACTGGGAGGCAAATTGGTTTTAGTGCTCTGTTTGGAATCTTTTTATTGAACGTTGTTGGAAGCTACAGTGCTCGGCATAGATGGTGTTTGGTGCTCTCACACTCTTTGCTTGCAGTCATACTGTGGCCCTTTACTGGGAATTTACAGCCAGTAAATACTAGGAAGTAACTTCTGTAACAAGATGTTTTTAACTGTATTCTTGTAATGGGAACCGAGCGGGGTTTACCTTGAGGATGTTCTTTTATACCCCTGCTTAGGCAGCGTGGCTGCAGCAATCTGCAATGAATTTTTAAACTGAAATGGGTCTTGCATTTGTGTTTCCTTCGTGGTTTAAATTGCAAATGATAGAGTATCTTAGTTCATAAAAAATGCGTCACGTTTGGGCAGTTCTTGCTGACGCTTTTATCAACCATTGCCACACAGACAAGCCTGAAGAAAAGCGGACCAAATCTTTGTGTCGTTTATTACTTTCTGTGGAGTCCAGGGCTTAGCTGGTTGCCCCCGTACCAGGAAAGCTCCCGTTCATCTCTTGGCTGTCCGGAATGTGCGTTTCCACGAGCGGTGGGAGCGGCAGCCGGGCGCTGCCTGCACTGGGAGCACTGGGAGCACTGGTCGGGCAGCGGTTTCCCGGTGCCCCGGCAGCAGCGCTCCCTCCCCTGCGGGTTTGCGGAGTGCCGGCTGCCACCTGGCTTGGGGGTTACAGGTCTGACCTCTGGCATTATTCACCTCGCCGTGATGTCAGAGAAGAGCAGTTGGATTCCAGACCTCTGACATCAGCCTGACCTGAAACCTCCCCGCAGCGGCCGCCCCAAGAGGGCTGCCGGCTCCGAGTGCGCCGGAGCCGGGGCAGGGCAGCGGAGGGCGGCG